TTCATACAAAGTATTAGTATGTTATTTGTCTACTAAATTATTAGATAAAAAATTTATTCAAGTTCTTAGCCGGCTAACATCACTAATTGTTGTGACATCCATTGCAAAAACTGTTGGTATGACTTGTCTCTTGAAGGGATCTCAAGAGATACAAACATTTGTGTTATGGTAAGTCCATACATTAAACCTTTTCTTAAAACTGCTAAGCCTGCTCCTACTTCAATAACTCCAACTCCTACTGAAAAATGCCTGATAATAATGATTCTACCATTTCATTTAAAACGCGCGTCACTAAAGTTTCAAAGTGAGTGTCTAAAAATAATTTAACAGGTGCTCATATAAATGCAAAATCTCTTAAAGGGCAAGACATTAATGTGATTTTTGGAATAGTCGGGACTCCATTAATTGAGGTAAAATAAAAGAATGCTTCATTTTTTTGGGGATAAGTGTACATTAAAATATTTACATTTCTGAAGGAATACGCTTTATAGGTTTTCATAATCAGTTATGGTGGATGAATATAACTAAAATTTACTCGATTTTTTAATTAAATTCCAATTATTTTCTTCCCTGCTGTGATAAGTATAATATTTTCTTTTTAAATATACATATTCATAAGAGTCTATATATAAAAACAATGTTTTCGTTATTAATTAGGTGTGCTTAGTGGTATCAGTCCTGGTGTTGTACATGCAATGACAGGAATGGCAAGTGTAATGAACGCAAAAGTAAATTGTTGACCATTGTTGCTTCTTGGTAGTTCGTCGGATATTTACCAGAAAGGAATGGGTGCTTTCCAAGTTATATCAACCAAACAATAAATATTCAACAAGACCAACTAATCCAAAACAAATTCTAAATATCATTGACAAAGCTATAAAGTTTTTAAATTATGTCGAAGCTGAAACCATCGTGAAAATTTTTGGATTTAAATCTTTCTAAATAAGTTTGATGTCACGTGAAAATTGCATTTATTATTTTATATACAATAAAAATAAAAAAGATTGTTTTTCTGTTTTTTACTAGCTCAAAGGAATATTTTTCACCCCACAAAAATCCAAGGAACATTTGAATAATATGAAATTTTCATTTAACTAGCTAATTTACGCGGTTAAACTGATTTAATGATTTTCCCTGTTATCTTTTTCACACACACATGCAAGTCCCTACAAAATAGGTCTTTTTGTTACAAGAAGCCATTTATTAATTACGAACTTACATTAATCTTTTATACGCGTCTAAATGATATTATCATATGATTAAAATCAACCCCACACATGCATGTATTTAAAAAAAATAACCCAGCAATATCGAATCAATAATATTTAATATAAAAAAAATTTCTTTTTGGCATGGTTTTTATTTTATTAGCTTTAGTTTTTTACTTATAAAAAAAATAAAAAATATTTTTTTAAAAAGCTATAACGCTTAATAATCATTAAAATCATTATATGAAAAAAAAAATATTTCCAAAAAAAAAATTTTTTTTAAAGTTGTGGTGAAAAATGAAAATGAAGAAAAAAAAATTTTTTTTTGATTGCAATGATATACTACATGATCAAAAAAAATCAATTAAGAAAAATGCTTTTTTTTTTTTTTGATATTTTTGTTGTGTGAGAATTTATTTTAAAATAAAAAAATCCCTCAAATGATAATAATTAAAATAAAAAAAATTTTTGAAAAATATACAGAAAAATTGTTTTTTTTTAAATTAAAAGATTATTCATAAAATGATATCATTAATTATTAATATATATATATTAATTATATATTAATTAATATATTATATATGTTATACCCTACTATATCCTATATCACAATCATTACTATATATTTATAACAATATTTTTATAAAGTGTTTGATCTTCTGTTATGAGAACGTCGAGATGATGATGTTGTAGTCGCTGCTGTAGTTGTGGTATTGTTAGTAGTAGCAGCTCTGTAATGGGATGTAGATGATGATCGTTTACGAGTTGTTGATGAAGGTATTTTACTGCGGTCTTTCTCTTTTCTGCTATTTTTATTATTATTGGTTGGAGAATCATAGCCTGTCAAGTATCTCATGTATAAGAATGTTTCTGCGATACCCACAATAACACTGCCAGATAAAGCAAGTAATACACGCTATATAATTGGAGAGATGAAAATAAGCAGTATAATAAAATAAGTTTAGTTATTTATCATAATTATTGGCTGGCTATAAAACTGTAATTCATTATAAATATTCATTATTTACCATTCCAGTGTCACCAGTAATCGTTTGAGCAACATGATAAACAGCTGCGAATACAGCAACAACGGTAAAGGTGATGTTGATGATGGCAGTGAGTTGACCACGAATACTTTGGAACTCCTCGGTATCAAGTAATTTAAAAGTCTCAACATCATAAGAAGAGGCAACTTTGCCAACCATACGAGCATATTCTTTATTGGCTTGTTCTGCTAATATTTTTTCTAATTTTGCAACCAATTCAGGACTCTAAATTATGTGTGTGACCGTGAGAGGGAGAATAATTGTTAATTGATTTGTTTTTATAATTGGTCATTTTTTAATGTTAATAAAAACTTTCTAAATTAATTAATTAAAAAATTTTTTTATATATGTATTGTATATATATATATATATAAGTACCTTGACTTTTTCTTTACGAGGCTGTACATAAATTCCACTTCCAGTAAGCAATTCGTGTAACCAATAACTAGAAAGACCTGAATGAATTAGAAAATGGAAAAAATAGTAAATTATTAGTAAAATGGCGTTTTTTTTTCATGTGTACAACAAAGTAGATTAATTAGAAAGATGTGTGTGTTGTTTGTGTGAAAGAATAATTCTGGCTAATAAGAATTTTGCAAAATAGAAGAAAAAAAAAAAAGAAAAAATTTACAACAAATAAAAAGTTGACCTAAGAAATAACACTATTACTATTACTATTATAAAAAAATACCGGAAATTTTAAGAATATCCGAACATTATTATTTTTTTTTTTTTTAAGAAAATCTTTCTAAAATGGGTTACTTGAAAAAACGAAATTCTTTTTGTGACGACATTTCGCGCCCTAATGGCAACTCGGAGAAATAAAATAAAAAAAAACCGGAATAATACGGGATATAGTGTGATAAGGACACCAAGATTTTCCAAATATAGTAAGAAGAAGTGTCAAATTTGAAATTTGACATAAATAAATTCACAAAATAAACGGGTATTTATTATATAAAGTAAGAGTAATAATAATAATTAATTCTAATAATTAATTTACTAATATAATGATATTTCCTTTTTTTCTTACCAATTTCTCTGCCCAGTTTTCCATCACGACTCACTAAGAAGTTGGAAACCTCCTTGATAAGGTCCAATGGAATGCAAGCACTTGCTTTCAAATATGATCTCAAACGTTGTCTTGCTGATTCATCAAATTCTGGCGATTGTATAGCTTGATAGATTGCAGTTCTGATACGTTCTGTCAATACCAATAATACCATGTTTAAGAAGATTATAAAATTTTATAAAGAAAGTATATAATATTGTATGTAAATGTGAAAAAGTATGAGAATAATGAAAAGAATATAGAGAAGTGAGATTTATATTTTATAAAAATTTAAAAGTTTGGTTTTTGGTTCTTATAATAATTTTTGTCGTTACAATCGTGTAAATTTTTTTTATTTCGTTATTTCGTCACAAAAAAAATAATAAAGATGACTTAAAAAATCATAAATTTTAAATTTTAATTATATAATTTTTTTTCTTCCTAAAAATTTAAATAAAAATTTAGAGAAGAGGAGAGAATGTGGAAGAAAAAAAAAGATGGGAAAAACTCGTTATTTGAGTAAAATTATTTTTTTAAAAAAAAAGAGGATGAATTACTTTCAATATGTTATAAAATATGAAATTTATTTAATTATAAAAAAATTAAAAGAAATGAAAAAAAAATAAAATATGAGAAATAAAAAAAAAGACGTCGTAAAGAAACAAAGTTCTAAATTAAAGAAAATTCCTTACCTCTATCTCTATTTATATGTAAATATTTATACAATGATAATGGTGTTGTTATTTGTGGTTACGCTGACGCACGTTTTTAATTGATTTATATTGATTTTAGTTGTTGATATGTATTGATTTTTAATAATTGATTAATTTATATTAATATAATTACTATTATTATTATTTATTATTAAAATAATAAAAAACTTTTAAGAAAAAAAAAAAGTAAAAAAAGAAATTGTCAATAATAATAATAAATTAACATTAATTAAATTATAAATAAATTTTTTTTAACCTTATGAAGATTTATTCAAATTCAAACAAAAAATGGTGAATTTACAAATTTAACGATAAAGTATAATAATGATGATTACGAAAATATATTATGAATTTTTTTAATAATGCATATAATTTTAGGTATTATTATTTGAAACTACAATATATAATATTATGTAGTAGGTTTACTTTATGTAGATATTCTATTATGCACATGCACACTACAAATATGCGTGACACAATCAATACATACTGTGGCCAAAGATTATCGTAGTTAGTATTAATTATACATTGTATATTAATATGTATGCATGTTAAATATTACAAAAAACGTGTTGCCATTAAAAGTAATGAAAATCAAAAACAAGGTGTCCAAACATGCATCATTACAGACAATTATTATATTATCATTTATGTACGAAGGTGTGAATATATTATCATGAATGAATGAAAAAAACAAGACAATAGATATACAATATACATTCACAACTCTGAAAAATTCACCACTTTACTTGTTTCATCTTCATTCTATTCTTCTAATTTATACCAAACATATTGATGAAATGCAAATGATTTCCTTTTTTAATTATTTTATCTAGAAAAAATATCATATAAGGCTGAGTAAGAAGAATCATTATAATGCATATATTTGTTTGTTTTTTGATTTTTTTTTTGAGAGCTGGACCGAGTGGTTCAAAAATTAGATGATTTACATTGTATTTTTATATTGTTCAAATTCTATATTCACATGAAAATTCATAAGTTTATATATATATAAAAAGAAGATCTACAAAAAATTTTTTTTCCTTTCTATCAGCCGATCGGATTTGTAATAACTATAAAACTTTAATTATTTTAAATTTGTTTCCCTAGTACCAGTGATATTTCATTAACTAACATTAAGATATTTTTTTACGATAAGAAAATTCAGCAGGGGAAGTTATGATATAACCTATTTTACTTCGTCCGAGAAATTTAACGATGATAATCGCGGCGAACTTAGCGAATCCTGAATTTGTCTCATATATGTTATTATTATTCCATCACGGCCAGAGAAAATAGGATAAGCCTACCGGAAAATGCCTAGGTGCAAAAATCGCTTCATAAAAATCAATAATAGTTCGCTTAAACCCAAATTTTTTTAATTAGTAGTTATATATTTCAAATATTTTTTTAAATATTAAAAATAACAAATAGGACTTTCCATTTTTTAAATAGTTTTGAATGAAATACCTAATATAGACCAATTTTGTCAATAATAAGACAAGAAAATTCATGGTGTTCACAACCCTAAATAGGGCTGGGAAAAAGTTGTTGTATTTTCCCTTAAAAATTTTTTTCTAGTGCAGGTAAATTTCCAAAGTAAAAATGGAAATAATAAAAATTTTAAGAAAAATTTAAATTTTAAAGTTAATTGTTAACAATTTTTTTGATCATACATGGATCACACGATTGTTTTTAACCAATTAAATACCATTTTGTTAATTTTTACTCATTAATCTTGAAAATTATAAAAAACATCACCAAAAATAAATTTGTCTTTTGCAATGATTATTAAAGGATTTGTAATTTGATTTTTTTTAACCAAGAATAAACAAGTTGTTTAAAAAATCAAATAATAAAAAAACTGTTTATGAATTTTTTTGCAGGTTGTTGATTGGCCTCATTCTTGGTTTTTTGCTTCATTATAAAACCAACTCTGTGATATAAACCAAAATAATCAATAAAATAGAGCCTAAAATAAAATGTAAATCAAACAAACTCACTAGTGATGAAAAATATTTAGAAGAAATTTGAATTCAAAAATAAAAAAACATTACTTTGAATGTGAATAGTTCATGCATTTGATGAAACTTTTAAGGAACTAATTTAAAAAAAAAAGCCACAAGAATAAATAACAACTATTCCAAATTTTGTTTTTTCTTTTTTCCCAGTTGTGGAGTTCTCTGAAAATCACTTCCAAAAAAAAAAAATAAAATGAAATCTGATAGATTTAATAATACATGCAATCGCCACAGTGATTAATACAATTTCAATAAATTTCAAGGCCACGCACCCCCATGAAATTTAATTGCCTTATTAGAATACAGTGCAGGACATCTATAATGGTCAATAGTCCGAAACTTAAAATTTTAGAAGATCTTTCTAATTTAAGTAATCATATTCCTTTTATTGGAAAGATTGTCTGTATCACGGAAAATTTTTAAGCCGATCATCAACCTTTTAGGAAACCACAAGGGAATATCATTCCGAAATTTTACAATTTACATATAGACATATATAAAATGTTCTAACTTTCAAGCCTTATAACTCAAAACTTTTCTAATAAAATGAAAAAGTAAACCGATGGAAATGAAGCTTAGGTCTTTAGCTTTAATTTTATCGGTTTATTTTTTTTTTTAATTTTTTTAATAAGGAGTTATAAGCTTTTAAAATCATGTGATAATCATTGACCGTTATAGATGTCCTGCACTATAATAATAATAACGATCATAATAAAATGCCTAAATATGATAGGTCAATATTGCTTTGTAACACTTGAGTACTCGTATGAGTGCAGATCTTTCTATTAATAGCATGATCTACGAGTACTCACGGTACTCATACTCATGTTACTCATGAGTAACCTATTATTATTATGAGTACAAACACTAGTTTTATCCGTTTTATCCATTTTATCCGTTTTATTTGTTTTATTTGTTTTATTCATTTTATTCGTTTTATTCGTTTTATTCGTTTTATTATTATTCATTTTATTCGTTTTATTATTATTCATTTTATTCGTTTTATTCATTTTATTCATTTTATTCATTTTATTCGTTTTATTATTATTCATTTTATTCAAATTATTATTATTTGTTTTATTCAAATTATTATTACTCAAATTATTTGTTTTATTCAAATAAACATTTGAATAGAAACCTAACTACTACTCAAGATTTTTAGCACAAAGAGCTTTAGAAATATTTAACCAATAATTTAATTACAATACAAAAGAGCTATTGGTTTATTAAATTAATTAAAAAATAGTATTAATTTTAAAAGAATATCTGATAATTTCATTCAATATTTACTAATAGGCTTTTAGACTATGATAAAAATATTAAGAATATTATTAACTTATCGGTATGCTAATACCTTGATTATTTTTTTAAAGAATAATCAGATTCTGATATTTACTGATACCCCATTACCCAATTTGGCATCATTTGGCCAGTAAAAAAAGAACCAATAGATTATATACAAGCAAAGAAAGATGGGGCCCTAAATTAGCACAAAGAATTTTAAATCATGTGCAAGTATAACAGCTTGATTGCTTGATTTAACCATATGTCTTTAATAAAACAAACATGACTTACTATTTAATCATTTCCTTGTATGTGAATGCCTCCATCCATTGAATATTCACAATGGTCATGATTATTATGTGATACATTTGATATCATCATTGACATAACAAACAATTGCATCACCCAGGTAGTAATAATACCAAGGCCATGCATATTGAAACTCTTAACAATGCGTCTCTACTCAGATCTCTAGGGTTCACAAATAAATTACTTTTCCTGATTATCAATTATGGTTCATTATGAATAATAAATCTGATGTTGATTGCAGGTGTCGGATTTAACTAAAATTTCCTATCACAAACATATGGTTGGGTGCTTTCACACACTTCCATAATTTTGGAATTGTTTCCACAGTGAAGGCCCCCACATGTTGGAAGGCTTTGGACAAAACATTTTCTTATCTTCCCCTCAGACCAGGCTTGGCTGTTACCATATGGGCATTGATCACTGATGGCTGGTGCCTGTGTGGATGATTGTGTTATACCTCTTCAGTATAAAGTTGGCACTTGCAAATGGTTTGAAAGTTCAGCAACTCAGGAGGCTGCAACCTGGGTTGCTATAATTTTTATGAAAAGAAAAGTATTAATATTTAACAATTAATTATTTAAATGTTTATTTTGTTGAAAAAAATATACATTGATAGTGTACATTTTCTGTGCTTAACATCCATGTGACCCTAAGTCTGGACAAAAGATCCCTTTCTATGAGTTTGGCTGGTATATCTCAAAGGTGTCTCCTGTCTTGTCAGTGGCATGCCTACTCACCAACAACCCTACCCCCATTCAAAAAACAAATTTGGTTAGTCAAATAAAAATTAAAGAGAAGCAGAAAATTTGAGAAAATGATTAATTTATTACATACCAAACAAAATCCAAACCATTTTATTTTACAACTTTCTCCTTGATGCCAGTGATCATGGTGACTATCACAATATGAGTGGGCAGAATTAAACTGCCACCTTTATACTCGTAAGATACATGCTCTCATTGAGCTACACTCCTTTAATCTAGGGTGGGAAGTTATATGGGAAAAAGTTCCCATTTAAAAAACAACAAATTCAGTTGGTCAACAAAAATTAATGAAAAACAGAAAATTTATGAAAATGATTAATTTATAACATACCAAACAAAATCCAAACCATTTTATAACTTTTTTCTTTTTCTTGTTGGCCATATTACTGACAAAGATGTATATAATTTTAATCTATAGGACAAGAGACTGATTGGGCAAAAGCCCATCTAGTCCCCTACCCAAAATTATTAATTCATGGTCCGCCGATCAATGATAGAAACTCACTAATTAAAACCGGGTGATCGACATATTTAAATTTAAGAAAATGTATCGAGTGACAAAAGTTGCATACTATGGAATTTTGTACTTTCATTATGCAAAGTCACATGAAATCATGCAACTTTGTAGATAGGAGGAACTTGGTTTTTTCAAAAATGTAAAATTTTTCTCTTTTCTTATATTAAAATAAATAGTTTACTCTTGAGGAGCTGTGGATTCCACACAAAATACATATATGAATTTTGTAAAAAAATTAATAGAATTGCAACACTACAAAAAAAAATGTAGCTAGTTTTAATAGTAATTCTCAGCTATTTTTATAAATAAACAATGAATTTTATTATTTTAAATTCAAAAAAAAAACTTATTACGAATTATTTGTTGTTATTAATTCAATCTTGAATGCTGCAGAATAACGAGCTATCCAACTTTGTATAGCATTCATTACCTGTATGAAAAAAAACCTTGCAAAATGGTAATTATTTTTTAGAAAATTTTGTTCCGTCTCCATTCTTTTTCAAATTGTTTACAGTGCAGGACATCTATAATGGTCAATAGTCCGAAACTTAAAATTTTAGAAGATCTTTCTAATTTAAGTAATCAT